CAACACATACCCCTTGGCATTATTTAAAGGAGGAGCTCCAAGCATATGAACAATGATATCAGTTTACAGGTCGGATCTCAATTCCTTCAACAATCAAGCCTTGATAAGGGCTACGAGCGAGCTGCTGGAGATTGAAAATAATGGATCCATCGTCTCCCGAGTGGTTATAGAACTCACCCATATGAACTTCCATCCACCCGTCTTGTCTTTCTCGAATTTGCGTGGGAGCTCCTTCAGGAGGTTCCAACAGCACTTGCTTTGCTTCTTGGGTGTCGTCCCCTTCAGAATAAACCCGCAACTTGACCGGCTTCCTCTCGAACACCTGTGCCTCCTCCGTAAGCTTGAACACAAAATGAGCTGCGTAGTTTGTTTTCAGACTCAACTTTCTTGCTTCAATCCTGCCCTCTATTTCAAGCCACCACACATGGTCCAACCTGGCCACTACACCAAACCTGATACAAATTCTTTTGTTAATAAGATGAAATATACAACAAAGATCCTTGGCTCCATCAAACTTAGAGTTGGGAGGTAGAACTCCTGACGGTTCTCTCTTCAAGGTTGCTATCCTTTCAGGTTCTCTCTTCAAGGTTTTTAAAATGTGTTTGCTAAGGGGAGGTTTCCACACTCTTGTAAAAAATGCTTCCTTGTTTTCCTTCTCAACCGATGTGGGATCTCACAACCTACCCCATTTGGGATTCAGCGTCCTTGCTGGCACTCGTTCCCTTCTCCTATCGATGTAAGACTCCCCTAATCCACCTCTCTTCGGGTCCTTGCTGGCACACCTTCTCGTCCACCCCTCTTCAGAGCTTAGCCTTTTCGCTGGCATATCACATGTTTGGCTCTGATACCATTTGTAACCATCCAAGTCCACCACCAAGCAGATATTGTCCTCTTTGAGGTTTCCCTTCAAGATTTTTAAAACACGGGGAAAAGTTTTCACATCCTTATAGAAAATGTTTCATTCTCCTCCCCAACCAATGTGAGATCTCACAATTCACTACTGTTCCCACATCCTTGTAGAAAATTCTTTGTTCTCCTTCTCATTCTCCTCCCCACCCAATGTGAGATCTCACAAATTCTTTGTTCTCCTTCTCATTCTCCTCCCCACCCAATGTGAGATCTCACAATTCACACTGTTCCCACATCCTTGTAGAAAATTCTTCGTTCTCCTTCTTAACCAATGTGAGATCTCACAATCCACGTTACCAAGAAAATTCAATTTTTGATGGAAGAAGAAAACATATTAGAACCAAGTACCGTTTCATCGTAAACATAGTTAGCGATAGAAAATTAAAAGTAAAGCATTACAGGGGATCTCACTTATTTGTTAGTTTCATAGAAAAACACTATTGGAATGAGTAAAGTAAGTAAAAGAGTTATTGGAATGAGTACAAGAAAGTCGAGGTGAATACCTAGATTGAGGGTCATGTTCCCATTGCCAATATTGGGGAGTGTCGGACCACACGATCTTCAAGTCCTTTGCTCCTCTCATGTACCGCACCTTCCCACTCTCTTTCTCCAAACCGAAGCTCTGAAACTTATACGATTCAAGAACATCTCATCAAATTAAGCTTTTCTTTCAAATTATCACTAATTTTTTTACCGTGTTTCCGGTGCCGATGAGGAGTGGATGATCGGAGAGACGAAAGTACAGATCCTTCCTCGACAATGAATTCAGAAACTCCGGCAACGACGGCGATGACGACTGCGAAATGACGTCTTTGATGTCGGAGGGAAGCCGAGCTTCCCAAACAGCGTCGGAACTAGCGATGGATCTGAAGGTCCGGGAGACTGCGGCGGCTCGGCAACCGTCCTTCACCGGCGTTAGGGCGAGGATGCGAGAGATGCACTCCTCCGGGAGCTGGGTGAGCCAGTCGATGTCGTCCATTTCGTTGCCCTTTCCTTTCCCTTTCGCCAATAATGGAAGAGTTGCAGAGAAAGCACGTGAATAAAGCTATGACACTGCTTCACTAACTTTTTTGTTCTTTTATTGGGAATAACTTTACTCTTTAAACCCACAAATTATCTTTCATATTCATTGCGTATATAATTGAAATAATTGTGGATTTTACATTTTTTTTTTTTGTTTAAATAATTTGGAGTTTTCATCTTTTTAGTGCCTTAATTTCAATTTGAATTATGTTTGTGTTGACTTGAATTTTGATGTTTTTAATGTTTTTTCTTAAATGTTTCTCCTTTCTTTCTTGTAATAGTTTCCTTTGTTGAATTTGTAAAGAAAAATTTGACGACTTGGGTGGATATGGTTGCCACGGAGTACAATGGTCGAAGTGTGGCATCATACTGGTGTCTCGGGTACAATGGTCAAGGTGTGACATCATATTGGCGCCTCAAGTACAATGGTCAAGGTGTGGCATCTCATACTGGTGCCTCGAGTACAATGGTCAAGGTGTGGCATCTCATACTGGTGCCTCGAGTACAATGGTCAAGGTGTGGCATCTCATACTGGTGCCTCGAGTACAATGGTCAAGGTGTGGCATCTCATACTGGTGCCTCGAGTATAATGGTCAAGGTGTGGCATCTCATACTGGTGCCTCTAGTACAATGGTCAAGGTGTGGCATCTCATACTGGTGCCTCGAGTACAATGGTCAAGGTGTGGCATCTCATACTGGTGCCTCGAGTACAATGGTCAAGGTGTGGCATCTCATACTGGTGCCTCGAGTACAATGGTCAAGGTGTGGCATCTCATACTGGTGCCTCGAGTACAATGGTCAAGGTGTGGCATCTCATACTGGTGCCTCGAGTACAATGGTCAAGGTGTGGCATCTCATACTGGTGCCTCGAGTACAATGGTCAAGGTGTGGCATCTCATACTGGTGCCTCGAGTACAATGGTCAAGGTGTGGCATCTCATACTGGTGCCTCGAGTACAATGGTCAAGGTGTGGCATCTCATACTGGTGCCTCGAGTACAATGGTCAAGGTGTGGCATCTCATACTGGTGCCTCGAGTACAATGGTCAAGGTGTGGCATCTCATACTGGTGCCTCGAGTACAATGGTCAAGGTGTGGCATCTCATACTGGTGCCTCGAGTACAATGGTCAAGGTGTGGCATCTCATACTGGTGCCTCGAGTACAATGGTCAAGGTGTGGCATCTCATACTGGTGCCTCGAGTACAATGGTCAAGGTGTGGCATCTCATACTGGTGCCTCGAGTACAATGGTCAAGGTGTGGCATCTCATACTGGTGCCTCGAGTACAATGGTCAAGGTGTGGCATCTCATACTGGTGCCTCGAGTACAATGGTCAAGGTGTGGCATCTCATACTGGTGCCTCGAGTACAATGGTCAAGGTGTGGCATCTCATACTGGTGCCTCGAGTACAATGGTCAAGGTGTGGCATCTCATACTGGTGCCTCGAGTACAATGGTCAAGGTGTGGCATCTCATACTGGTGCCTCGAGTATAATGGTCAAGGTGTGGCATCTCATACTGGTGCCTCGAGTATAATGGTCAAGGTGTGGCATCTCATACTGGTGCCTCGAGTACAATGGTCAAGGTGTGACATCATACTGGTGCCTTCAATACAATGGTCGAGGTGTGACATCATATTGGTGCCTTCAATACAATGGTCGAGGTGTGACATCATACTGGTGTCTCGTGTACGATGGACGAGGTGTAGCATCATATTGGTGCCTCGAGTACAATGGTCGACGTGTGGCATCTCATACTGGTGCCTCGAGTACAATGGTCCAGGCATGGCATCATAATGGTGCATCAAGTAAAATGGTGTGGCATCGTACTGGTGACTCGAGCACAATGGTCGAGGGGTGACATCATACTGGTACCTCAAGTACCATGGTCTAGGTGTGGCATCATACTAGTGCCTCGAGTACAATGGTCGAGGTGTGACATCTCATACTGGTGTCTCATATACAATGGTCAAACTGTGACATCATACTAGTACCTCGAGTACAATGGTCGAGGTGAAGCATCATACTGATGCCTCGAGTACCATGGTCGAGGCGTGGGACCCTCACCAAAGGGTTAGGAGGAGCATCAAGACCATGGTCACTAAAGGAAAGGGTGGATGTGATGAGTGTCGAAACAAGCATTGAAACTTCGGTGGGTGTATCTACGGGCAAAGGTAGGAAGAAGAAAAGGGATGGGGGAATGAAGAGTAGCATGCATGCAGGTTGAGACGTGGCGAGCAGGGCAGGCGTTTAGTGTGTGCGTTGGCGGCGTGTGTTCCGAAAGACAACGGCATACTCTCAGCGCCATCTCGCTGACGCCCTCCTCCCTATCTTATACCCCCAACGCCCATCATATATTCAACCTTTTCTTACCCCATCCTACAAAATTCCAAGTTTCGAAACTCGTGTAATACAAAATTAAAATATTTAGAGACTAAATAAATATAAATTTCTAAAATAATTTTTTTTTATACCTGATCGAATATATTTTGATAAGTAACTATTGACACGATAACTATCCTTGGAACAAGTCTTGCTTAGTTCGGAGAACTCGATAAATCTCGGGGGTAGTAGACCCGACCCTTGTTAATGAAATTAAATTTTAGTAAATCTGTGAGAACAAAATATTCCTTATAAGGTGTTGAAATTGTTGGATGATGAAAGTACTCGGCTAATTTAGAGGGAATAATCATGGGTTTATAAGTGAGAAATATTAACTCCATTGGTATGAGACCATTTGGGCTCCATTGATACGAGGTCTTTTGGAGAAGCTCAAAGCAAAGCCATAAGAGGTTATGCTCAAAGTGGACAATATCGGACGATTGTGGAGAGTTCTTGAATTTAATGAAGCCAATAATAATTTTTTTTTTTTTTTTTGAAGACTTTAAATATTTTGGAGGCTTTAATAAAAAAAACAATTTATTTTGTAATTAAAAAAAAGTTGGGATTTATGTGGTGATTTCCAAGAAACATTTGTCGTTGGCCTCATTAGCCAAGAAAAGACGTGGCACGCCGCTATTCTGCTACCTCCTTCCCTATTTTCGTGTCCAAACAGCGCCACATCTCCTTCCCCATAAAACCCCTTTCCTCCCCCAATTTCTCTTCGTTCCCATCCTCAAAAGCAACAACGCCGATGACGAAAGCAAGGCTCTCTCTGATCGCCGTCGTGGTGCTGGCGCTGCTGGAGGTGGCGGTTCTGGCGGAAGGATACAGCGGAAGAATAGGCGGACGAAGAAGAATCAAAGACGTGAGGAGCAACGAGGAGGTGCAGGGATTAGGGAGGTTCAGCGTGGAGGAGTACAATCGGAGATCGCGGCGGAGTGGAGGCGGAGAGGTGGAGTTCTTGGCGGTGTTGGTGGCGGAGAGGCAGGTGGTGGCCGGAACGAAGTATTACTTGAGGATCTTGGGGATTGAGAACGGTCGGAAGAGGATTTTCGAATCGGTTGTGGTTGTGAAGCCGTGGCTAGGGTCTAAGCAGCTTATCGATTTCTCGGCGTCGAGATTGTTTCCGAGTAGGATTTCTAATTTCTGAGGGTTTTTGGGCGTCGAGAGCGTTTACGAGTCCGTCGGGAACAGAGTTGCACCAAATGCAGAGGTTAGGGGAGTGAAGTTTTTGCATGTTATATACTAAATAAAAAATTATATATTTTTCTTCATTTTTTATTTTCCAAATATTGGAATGGTCATGAATCTTGAGGAAGCGGAGACCTCACTTTTGACCTAACCAACCAAACCAACCAATGAGAGCTTATTCTCAAAGGCGAGAATATCCTATTATTATAGAGAGAATCATACCGTAATTTTTAACAATTTTACATACTTTTAAAGTTTCAAAAGTTATATTTTCTCTTTAGTATTAGTTTTAGCTTAAAAAAAAACATTTCCCAAGTGCAAAATAGATAACATCAGTAACTCCTATCTTATAAGATCAGTCAAATCTCATAAGACAAGTCAAATCTTATAAGACAGTGTGAAATCAAACGTCACTATTTTTTAACATCGTGAAATTGGGTCTTCCTTATTTTTTAACATCGTGAAATTGAGTCCTCCCTTTTTTTACGCTATTACAAAATAATAAGTAAAATTAGATTCAATTCTCGACTGTTCCGGTCCTAAATAGGAATGACTACTTATTCGAGCCATATCACATGAACGATTTGACTACTGATCCGAGCCATATCACATGAACGATTTCACCTACTGATTCGAACCATATCACATGAAAGATGGATCAGCCATATCACATGAACGGCCGATTCGAACCATATCACATGAAAGAAGAATCTTGAAGTATAAACAAATCCATAAAATGGCAGCATATGATACAAACATCATGTTGTCCTTAACCAACCAACCAAAAACCAAGATGGTTTAAGGAGGGAAACTAAGGATCCTTAAAATCATCAAAGCTACATTCATAATGAAAAGGTGTGAAGAGGGAAAGAGAGAAAGAAAGAATGATCATGAATGTAGAAGAAGAGGAGGTTGAGCTTGAGCTTGAGCAGCCATTGACAGCTCAAACTGCCTTAGAGAAATGGAAGGGAAAGAGAGAAAGGGATTGAGATTAGTATCCCAACCCTTAATGGGGTTTGTAGTGGTTGAGCCATCCAAGCCAATGTGCGTCACATGCTTCACATCTGTTGGATGTCCGATCTCCATCTCCACCTCCTCTACTTCTTCTTCTTCTTCCTCCCTCCTCAAAACTAGGGTTTTCCACACACACACACGCACGTACAAATACATTAATATTGTTGTTATTAATGGTAGGTAGGTAAAATTAGTTGGTGGGTATGCTTCATTTTGTTTAATAATCTTTGAGTTATTCAACTAATACTCTATTGGGGGGTGGGTGTTTTCATTAGCTTGAATTGGTTGGATAAAGTGGATAATTCCAATTTTTAAAGGAATTTTCAAAAACTCTTTTAACGTAAAAGAGAATTTCATTTCTAAAATGTCATGTTGAAAATTAGTAATTCTTTGAAAGTAATAATGATGATAAATATTTCATTAATATCATGAAAAAGCACATTTTAATATGATTTCAAAATAGATCGTATCATTTTTTGAAAGATAACGAATGAGGGATGAAATTCAAGTGAATAAATAATTACATGAGATATAGAGAGTTTTTGCTTACCAAATAACTGGGACAAAGTTTTGAAGCTTCTGACCAACTTATGAACTCCATTTGAAATGTTAAGTAAAATGAAGAAACTAGAAGGGTTCTTCATTTTCACTTCAGAAATTTTGTGTTCACTTTCTTCTCTTCCTAACAATAACATATAACACACTTTAAAACAGAACCCTGTTCGGTTGAAGAACAAACAAAGGAATTTGGGAACAAGAGAAGAGAAGAGAAGAGAAGAGGAAACTATTGATCTTACTTGCTACACTCGGGTTAACATCTGAACCTTTAAGCTCTCGACCTTGAGTTGTAGAAACGGGCGTACCCGTCGCGACAGTAGAGCGAGAAGCGCAACCCGAGAAGAAGGGAAGAGCCACAAATTTTGCAAAGGCTCTCATATTTTCAAGAAGGGAAAAGTAGAAGTGATTAAAAGCAAAGTAAAGAAGAAGAAACTTGAGAAGAAAATGATAAGGTTTTGTGATGTAGTTAAGGGTATGAAAAGTATGAAAATGAGAAGGAAAGGGAGTTGGTAGTGTTACCAAAAGCTGGCTTTAGAAGCAAGATAGAATGATTTAAATGTGGAACAATAGAAGACCTACTCCAAAACAATCTTCAATTATAGGGGTGGGTATTAGTTAGATAGTTAGTTCAACAGTGCAATTCAAAACTAATATCCTCTCTCTCTCTCTCTCTCTCTCTCTCTCTCTCTCCCTCTCTCTAGTAGGTTTAGGGTTGGGCCTATGGGCCAAGACATGTTAACATCAAATAGGGGGCCAACCCCTTTGGGCCACTCTTGAAGACCAAGGTAAGTGAACATTCATGTTGATGGGGAAAGATATGGGTTTTTCCCTTAATCTAGACTCAATCCTGTACTAACAAACATTGAACCAATATCAGAGTGAAGAGGAAGGAATTTCTGTTTTAGCTCCTAGTTTCACACATTAAGTGATGTTTAAGTTTCCAATTGTTTTGTTCTTCCTAAAGATGCATTGCTTTTTGTAACCATAAATAATCATTCCCAATCCAATATAGGAATAGACATCAGAAGAAAGGTATAATCAATCAGATGGAGTTCCAAATTATTCCTATGTTCTTGCTCACTTCATGTGGTAAATATGGAAAAGTGATAACATGAAGATTTAGAACAATTATTTTCAATTACTTTCAGAATATTCTGTACAGAAGATCAATGGTTAATGAACTCAAAGGAAAAAAAAAAAATCAATGGTTAACAATGGAAGCATTTGATACCCAACTAATGGCAAATCTACAAAACCAAGGGCATTGGACCCATATGTCAACCAGACTAAGAATAAGCTTTCCTATGATGCTCTGCTAATATTGTAAATTTGGACTGCTAATCTCGACATCTGTCAGACGTTGTGTTCATACAATTAGGAAATATGGGATTAAGGAAAAAAAGAATTGCCTGATTAGACATTGCTGAGTTGAGAAGCTAGAACTCGTCGCAAAAATGCTACATGTCATGCTGAAGGTGAGCTGCCATTAACTTTACATGATAGTTCTGCCCAAGAGAATACAGAAAAATCAGCAACCACGGTGACAATGAAACAAGGAAAAGAGCCAGGGCACATTCAACAGAAGAATAGAGTCTAAAAGAGTTGCGACTAGCCAAACAAAATATATTGAAAGGATCACCGGCAGATGTGTAGAGAATATATGAGTGAATGTGATAGCTCATGCATTTTACACAAAGTCGGGAAACAAATGGAATTTTACCTCTAAATGGACTCGATCAAGCAGATTTTCACAATCAAAAGCAAGAATAGAAAAAATAAAAGATCATTCCTGTTTTGCTAACCTGCCTCATTCCCCTCTCCAATCTACTAAATCTGTCCGCGATACATGTAGCTTTGAAACTCGTTCTTCCTCTTCCGTATCATTGACTACACCCCGACATCTTGGAAAGCCGCAGTAACATGCTAGTTGTTCATCAATAGAAAAAAACCTGAATGCAGGTTGAATCGTCAGCATCCATAGAGTACCAGAAAATAGGATATAATCACCAAATATGAGCAGAACCTATAATCATATGTAAGTTCTTCCCATCGCTTGATGTCCCTCTTTGCAAAGATTATTATGTGTTCATCTCCATTGACACTTATAACTCTCGAGTAGCAATTTGGCTGCATTAAGGAAACATTAATGTAAATAATCAATGAGAATTTCTTGTTTTGAAGAGGAAAATGATGGAATTTAATGGGGATATGAAAACTTAGACCAATGATATTTTCCCCAATGAAAATGCAAGTACCCAATATGTCATTAAGTAGTATTCGAGAATCGAACCTCCTTTACTTGAGGACAAGAATTCTCTCGATCCCGACATCAAGCTTTAGCTTTCTGTTAGCATATGAAATAAATTCTTTTTCGTTTTTTTTGTAGTCGTCAAAGAATTCTATTTGCCAGTCAGAATTGATGGCAGTTTTAATGCCTGAATGGGAAGTTCATCACGGAAGACAACTGCAGTGTAATATAATCTTAAACTACTTTCATTTAATTCTAAGAATGGGATTATGGTTATAACTTCCTTGAAATCCATAAATGAGCTTATTTGCAGTTCAATGGGTCAGTGTGTTCGTTGTTCTGTAATGTACGTGACATTTGATTAAACAGAGAAAGATTTATAGTAAAGTATTTATGGATCAAGCATGAACCTAAGCATTTCACAGAGCACTGATCTGCAATTCTTTACCAACAAGCTTAGTATGTCAATCTTCTCCTTATTTGAAATTTTATTTTTCCTTGAACAATTCTATGAATAGCTACAGTTATTGTGTAAGATAGCCTAATTCATAAGAGAAAACAGGAGTTCCAAGTTTCTCTTACCAAGCATCCAAGGGAAAATGTTAGCTTACATGCATTCATCTCCATAAGGCACTAAGGGTATAAGATTATTCTACCGACACCTAACTTAATGCATCATCTCATAAGGATAGAACGCTAAAAAATTTAAAGAGAAGGAAAAATAAATGTATAACTAGAGAAAGTAATACATACTTCACAAGAGTGGTTGATCAGATGAGCAATGCTCCCAGCCCTTGTAGCGTCAATTACTCGTTCATCATCGATTCTAAACATGTAAGTGCCAGCACCCTGAAATAAATGGAACTCATTAACTTATCTTAGCCTGTTTTCATGAAGGTGGAAGAATGGGAAACTCCAACATCTGCTTGACGATACAATAGAGGAATGCCCATAAATTTACCAAATTCAAGAAACCCACAATTCACTTCGTCCAGAAAACCAAATTAAAAAGATGATCTTCCCAGGTTCCAGATCAAGTGACAATTTGAAATCTTAATTAATTAAATGAAGAATCTATCTTACCTTTAACTTTACACTACTAAATCACCTCATAAGTGGATCACAAGAATCACTACGTCCTTACAAAAAAAGAAAAAAAAAACTTGCCTTATCAGACGATGTTACAACGCAAGCACACCTTTATACAGTCAGATTACAAGAGAGCCGAAACAAACTAACGATAGAAAGTACTTCATCTCAAAGAATGGTC